CGAGCGGCAGCCGGGCGACAGGCGCAGGCTCCCGGGGCTCCCAGGGCACAGCTGTACAGCGAGTGGCAGCCAGACGACAGGCGCAGTGAACTGTTGGAGAACAGGAAATGCCCCCGGGGGCCCGGCCTGCGGTTTCGTTCCAGGGATGGCAATGCCGCTGCACTGACAGAAAAACTGCAACTGGATCCCCCCGCTTGGTCCCCTCCTAACTGGTCATAGGGCCACAGAGGCCACCATGGTGAAACGGGAGACAAAGGGAACCTAGATCCCCAAACCAGACCTTCGCCCAGGGAGGCTTGGCCAGAAGGATGGGCCGGTGGCTAAAACCTGCACCTGGAAGTCTGGAGAGCCGGCCTCTATTCCCGACTCTGCTGCTGCCCCGGGCATGTCACTGCGCAGCTCTGTGCCTGGGGGTCTCCGAGACGTGGGAATAATAGATCCTCTCTCTCTCAAGCTGTGTGTGAGGCTTAATTGTTTAATGTTTGTGAAGCACTCAGAGACCCTCCGTGCAACTGGTCAGACAGAGAGTCATCGTCAGAACCAGGAGGAGGCCCCTCACTCCCAGTCCTGTGCTCTGACCACTCCCCCTTCACCGAAAGCACCGAAATCGTTTTTCAAAGAGACATTATTAAGGGCACAAGAGGAAACTATCCCACTGCATAGGAAAGACAGGAAGTCTGGCAAGAGACCACCCTGGCTTAGCCAGCAGATCTTCAATCATCTAAAAATCAAAAAAAAGTCCTAGTTTTGACTATACTTTTGTATCGTTGTATGAAAAGGTTTCAGTGATGCGGCCCTCAGGCCAATGTCCTAGTCCTCATGTGGCCCTCGCGGTGATTTGAGTTTGAGATCCCTGGTCTAAACCCAGAGCAGGGCGGAGCTCGGGGAGTTGGAGACTCCATAAATCTCTGAGTCGGCTTAGTGTTTATAGGCCAAAGTGATGACACTTGGGTGATTAAAGTGAGGCCTCTCCCTCTGTGCCTAGGTAGCTGATTAGAAGCGGCCTAGTAGTCAGAGGTTTGCATTGAACTTCAGTGGAAGTTCTGGGTGCTCAAAACGTTTGAAAATCAGGCACTAGGTGCAGGGCCGTCCCTAGCAATTCTGGGGCCCTACGCAGCCCCCCCACGGGAGGGGGGGCCCAGGCCTCTGCGGGAGGGAGCGGGGGGGCTGGCCTCAGGCCTCCGCAGGGGGGTGGGGTTGGCTTGGGGGGCAGGGGGAACCACCCCCCAGCACTCACCGGCGGCGCAGCTGGGGCTGGTCACTGCACTTCCCGCCGCCAGCGAGTGCAGGCCCAGCCCTGCTGCAGTCCTCAGGAGAGTGTGGGTGGGGCTGGGGCGGAGCAGGGGCTGGAGGAGCACGCAGCTGCGCAGGGCTCCAGGAAATGTGGTGCCCCAAATTTCCTGGTGCCGTCCACAGCTGTGTACTTTGCATATGGGTAAGGACGGCCCTGACTAGGTGTCTAAAGTCAGGTACCCCAAATTAGAGTCTAAGTCTGAAAGTGTGGGCCTTAACCGCTCTGTGCCTCGGTTTCCCCAGCTCTGGGATTAATGATCCTTCCCCTCCTCTGTAAAGCGCTGTGGGATGTATGGAGAGAGTGCTATAGCAGCGCCATGGGCTTTTATTGCTGATGTTACTGTACCTGTTTTTAGGAGAACACAGAGCCACACCTCTAGTTAGTGTGGCACAAGGCTTTCCATTCCCAGGGGCCGTGCGCATCGGACTGAAGACTTTTCCCTGTCTGACGACAAGAGGCCTTGGACGCTATCCGGCAGCAATTTTTATTTATTTATTATTTATTTACTTATGTATGTCAAATTTGAGCCAAAATGGTTCTGCGGTTTTTAAGACTAAGGAGGGTTGGAGAAAACACGCTTGCTCCCAAGATGTGACTGGTTTGAACGCACGGGTGGGAAATGGCAGGACCGTGGAATTTGGCAGCTCTCTCGGGCCAGGCCGGGCGTTGGGACAGAGTGTGAATTGGTTGTGACTTGCTAAAGTTCTTCGCCTTTTAAAAACCTTCCGTATGCCTGGGCCCTGGGCTTTGCAACGTGATCTCTTAGCAGTTGATCAAGGGTCTGCTTGGGTGTAGTTTAGGAGCGTTTGTGAGCTGCGCTGTGTTCCTTTGTGATTGGTGTACGTGCGGAGGGAAGAAGACAAATGGTCGTTGACAGTGGATAGTGACCTCTTGGTGCTTACTGTCCGAGGCGAGTCCTGTGTGAGTAACGGCTGTGCATGTATCTCTGGGCCTTTATGTTTGTCTTGGTTCCATCTCTTGCAGGGCCTGAAGAAGCCGAATATTGAGGAGATCCGGCATGCAAAGAACGCAGTGTTCAGCCCCTCCATGTTCGGGAGCTCCCTGCAGGAGATCATGAACATGCAGAAGGAGAGGTACCCGGATCGGCAGCTCCCCTGGGTGCAAACCAGACTGTCTGAGGAAGTGCTGGCGCTGAATGGAGACCAGACCGAGGGCATCTTCAGGTAATGCTGCCTTGTGACTTGGACCCTTCTTGCACACTTCAGCTCTCAGGGAGTTGCACACCAGGCATTCGCTTCCAATGGAGAATTTGCAACTGGCTGCTTCTTTAATAGTCCAGGAGGGGCCGGGGGGGGGGGGTCTTAGAAGGGAGTGTTGCATGCTGGGACATGTAGTTTTTCTTAGCAGCACCTCTGCTAAAGATGAGGATGGCCACAGATTGCACTGTGGAGCACTGTGGCTTGTGCTGTGGCCACTTCTGGCTCGCAGTGTGATTTTGAGGAGCAGGCAGTTAGAGCATTCTCTGAGGGGCGACGTAACACTTCCAAAGCCAGATGACAGCATTGGGTCTGGCTGTCCCTGAGCAGACTAGAGAAGCAATGACCGAGGCAGGACTGTTGCTAGCTGCTCATCTCCCCTCCCAGCCTGGCCCAGGCCACAGCCTCAGAGAAGAAACCTTTGCAATCAATGGCATGGGCTGAGCCCCGGGTACTTTCTCTCTCTCCCTTGTTTCCTTTTTTATATTGCCCATCACCACAGTATCTAGGCTCTAGCGCTTCCATCCAGGAACTCGGTCGTTCACCAGTTGTCATTGTTTTGAACAAGATTTAGCTGTGATATCTGTAACACATCCTGTGTGCAAGGCCACTGCTCCTGCTCTCCCACTGTCTGCCTAATGACAGGCCTTAGCAGTGGGGCCCTCTCTTGTCAGTAACAAAGCGTGATCATGGACAGTACGTTTCCAGAGGGCCTCTCCTGTGGGGCCATGCAGTGGAAAGGGCACCTGGGCATAGGAGGTACAGAAGATCCCCTCTGCTTTCACAGGCCACCCCAGCTCCTCCCCTCTGTGGGGGTTCCGAGGGCATCTTCAGGTAATGCTGAAGGGAGAACTGTGTGGTCCCTGGTGGTCTGGGCTAGCTGTAAGCCCCAGTGTATCCCTGTGGACAGAGAGGGGCCTGGACTGGGACACCCCCAAAGTGTGGATTTCCCTTGGCGTGACCTGAGCCTGAGCCACCGCTGGGCGGCAGTGACCAAAGGTGCTGAGAAACCAGGCAGTGAGGCAATAACATTGTCAGTGTCTCCTACGTGCTGCTGTGCGCCGGATCCTCTGCTGCAGCCTTTGGGAGGGGGAGGGGAGTGAATTTCAACAGGACTATCAGCCCTGCCTTGTGTTAGTCACGGCTCTGTCCTGGCCGCTGGACTCTGAGACATCATTCACATCCCATTTGAGGCCAAGAGCATCCCCCCAGGGGTTCTCTTGTTTGTAGGCTGAAGGGATCTTCCTATTCACAGTGCTCAGTAATATCACTCCTCACCTGGCCAGAGGGGTCGCTGCTGAGCCACATGAGGCCCTTCCCCTTCCCACGGGCTCAGCGTGATGTCCGCTGCTGCAGGGGAATGTACCTGTCCATTACAATGTATCATGTCTGTCTCCCCGACGCCACACCTGGCAACCGCCTCTGTTAAGCAAGGTCTCAGCTGGCTACCCTGTCCCAAGCTGATAGAGGGCTTCTTACACAGCCTCCCACACAGGCTCAGCTCCGCTACCCCGGTGCTCAGAGAGAGGAGTCAAATTGTGCAGGGGATACTGTGACGGGATCCCCATGGTACAACCTGGAACTGTGGAACCGCTGTGCCCCCTTAACTCTGCAGCCTGGGCTGTCTCTCCCAATGCTTTGCTAGTGACAAGCAGCAAACCCCTCCAGGCGCTGTTATCCCTCAGCCACCAGCATGCAGAGACACACCCAGCATTGCATGAATGCTCTCCAAGCCACTCATGAACCATCCACAGGGAAACACCAGTGAATCCCCCCAGCCTCCAGCCTTGCACCCCAGAAATGTATCATCTTACCCTGCTCAAGATCTTCTCTTGAACAATGCAAGCTCATTAATTAGTTCGACACTTCGTCAAGTGGACATGCACCAGCCTTTGTAATCTGAGCAGATTCCCCAAGCACTTTAGAGAAACTCACTGGTAAAGATAAAACATTAAAATAAGTTTACTACCTCCAGAAAGATAGCTTTATAAGTGATTACAAGTGGTAGGCATAAAGGCCAGAGATAGTTACCTAAGAAATAAAAGTAAAATCAGTCTAAATCCTAAACTCTACTAGATTAAGCAAGATTTGGATCAAACAGCTTTTCTCACCCCGCTGGATGTCGCAGGCAGGTTACAGTTCTCAGTACACAGGCTGAATTTCCTTCTCAGCCTGGAACCGATCTCCTCAGTTCAAAGTCTTGGTCTCCCCACTATTCTTGTTGCCTTCAGCGTAGGTGAGGGAGCAGAGAGGTGGTCTCGTGATGCCATTGTCCCTATTTTACACTCTCAATTCATGGCCCAGGGGAGATACTGGCCCAGGCATGTCATGGTGCTTGTGCAACTGTCGCCTACAGAATTGTAAATCTCTTGTTTACAATTCCCCTGCTGGTCCAGGATGGTCGCTTAATGCTCGTTTGGGTGTGGGTCACCTCTTTTGTTGCCACTGGAGAGTTAGGTCTGGGCATCTCCCAAACTCACAGCCTGTTTCAATAACAACCATGCAGCAAACTCTCATCACTTCATACACACAAACGATATACTTATTTTGACAGAACAATGAGTTTCAGCAGATCATGATCTTTCATATGGTATCTTACATGGCATGCTTTGTATGAAATATCACAACCATATTGAAATGGTGCTACTTTGAGGTCCAGTGCATCATAGGTACATAGCAGTGACCATCTACTCAAGCTCCTCCCACAATCCCAAACCCCACCCACATGCACAAGATCCTCCGATAGCCCCCAAAGAGCTGGATGGCTGTGCTCAAGTGACCAGCAAGGAAATAATTAATGCTGCCAGTTAGTGGCATGTGTTCCCAAGCTGGAGGAGCAGGAGTCCTACAGCAAATCTGTGCAGACAGTAGTGAGCTATACAAGGTGCTTTCACAGCTCCTGCAACCATAATATCCACGCACAATTGCACATGTAGATAGTAGTGAGGCATCTAAATAGCCATGTCTGTGCAATCACAAAATTTATATGCCCAGTTACCATAATAATGCACATGAGATGCTCGCCTTTGTGCACACTTTTCCACGTGGGCAGCCTCTGGTCTCTGTGTTTGAAAGTGGACTGTTGTCATCACTAAGTTTCAGAGTTAACATACCATTAATCTGATGAAGGTAGTATTCCCCTCTCTCAGCTATTGTTTCAATCTCTCTACAGACTCAGGCAGACAGTATGTTTAAAGTGCTCATCATTGAGGTATCTAAGTGTTTCTCCAGACTCTGCCTATAACAGGGACTCTGGCATCAGCCAAAGTAACTGGGTAAATGGCCTTCAGCATCCAGTTGTAACCCCCCGTGGACCAAGTCTGAAATCTGTGAGGGTTTCTTTTCTGCACAGAGTGCCTGGAGATATCGATGAGGTCAACGCCCTCAAGCTGCAGGTCGATCAGTGGAAAATCCCCACCGGCTTGGAAGACCCTCATGTTCCTGGTAAGGGTTCCTGACCCCCCTCCCTTCACACAGGGAATCCTGGTGCAAGGGGGAGTGGGAAGTGAGTCCTGGCTCTGAGCGTTGTGGGGGTGAAGCCAGCCAAGCCTGGGGTGGGCCCCGGGCAAGGGAGAGAGTCAGAGTAGAGACCTAGAGCAGGCCTTGGGAATGGGGGGTGGGAGCCCACTTCAGGCACTGGGCATAAGCGGGGGAGGGAGATGGGGAGAGAAAGGACGGGGCTAAGCAAGGGCCCACCAGGGTGCAGAGCCTGGAGGCTGACGACTGGGAGCCAGAGTCTGGTGTGGCAGAGGGGATTGGAGGAGGAGGGCGACCTGGTCCGAGCAGCAGGGGAAGAGCTGAGCGTGCAGGAAACCTACGGGGGGGAGCCCAGCACATGTGGCCCAGCCAGGTGACCACCACCTCCAAGGCATAAACACAGGAGAGGAGAGCCCTCCCCAACAGTGTGATCTGGCTGGCTGTGGGACGCAACGGGAGCCCCATTGGCTGGGGCTGGAGCTGGGCCACAGGGGCCCTGACCGTGGGTGGGGTACACCACTGAATACAGCACGCCCATCCCTCCCTTCTTGGAGCCTGGCTGCCCCTGGGGCCACGCAGATGCCAGAGCATGCACCAGCTCTCCTCTCGCGGGTCAGGATTAACATTGTAGAACAAGTGTCCATGTTGCACTGAGGCGGCCGCACGGCCAAGGTCAGGCTACCCGACAGCTGCTGGCTTGTTAATCACAGCTGAGCGGCCGAGTGTGTCAGTATTTAAAGCCTTCCCATTGATTCCAGCTGCATAATCCACCAGCCCAGTCTGCTGAGCATCGGCTCTCTGCCTAATCCCTCTCCAGGACACAGAGCAGCACGGAGCTCACGGTGGGAGCATCTGCAAGGGGCAACTAGTAACGTGGGATCAGTCCTAACCTCTGATACGGCAGGCAGGGGGCCAGCGGAACCAGCAAGAGCTGGGTGGACGCTGACCCAGCCTGTGTAGGAGGAGAATTAATTTCCTGCATACCCAATAAGTAGCAAAGCATCTCAGGGAAGGTGTCTGATCAGTGTTCATAGTCAGTAAGGCCAAGAAGAGGTTCAGTTGTATTAACAATAGGATGAAGAACAATAAAGAAGCAGGACAATGGCCACTCTCTAAACCTGTGGTAACAACCTCATCGACCCATCTCCAACAGGACATGGCAGAGATAGCAAAGATCCAGGCAAGGGTGGCTGGTAATAGAGGTGGGGGATCCCATGAGAGGATCTCATTCAAAAAAACATTGAGAGACACACAGTCGGCTCATTCACTCAGTGACATTGTGCATCACAGATGAGATCTGGGGCATGTTAGTTTGAAAAGCGGAGAGTGAGAGGAGGGCTATGAAATCACAGAGCAGAGAGAAGATGGATCAGAGTCTCTTACATACCCCATCTTGTGGCACTAGAGCAAGGGAGCGCTCAGTGAGATGGCCACACGTTTAGAAGGGATAAAGGAAGCACGTGGGCAGCCTGTGGAACTCACTGCTGCAGGATATGAAGACAGATAGCTTAGGGACAGATTCTGTCTCGCTGACTCACACGGAGTAGTACCGCACAGGGCTGCTCATGGAATAAAGTGCTACTCAGAATGAGTAACGGGGGCAGAATCCAGCCCTCAGTGTTTCAAAGAGCTAGCTGTTGGTATGAACACGAGTAGCAGCTTCACTTCCCACTAACGAGGATGGCCAAGATAAGGGTTATCAAGCTGTGTGCTGCAGGTATAGGGTTGTCAACTGTCTAATCACACAAACCCAAACACCCTTGCCCCGCCCCTTCCCGAAGGCCACACCCCTGCCTCGCCCCTTCTCTGAGGCCCTGCCCCCCACTCACTCCAGCCCCCCTCCTTCCGTTGCTCACTCTCCCCCACCCTCACTCACTTTCACTGGGCTGGAACGGGGGGGAGGGGTTGAGGTGCGGGATGGGGTGCAGGCTCTGGGCTGGGGGGTGGAACCAAGGGGTTCAGAGTGTGGGAGGGGACTCCAGGCTGAGCTTGGGGCAGGGGGGTTGGGTGTGGGAGGGGGCTCAGGGCTGGGGCAGGGGGGTTGGGGTGCAGGAGGGGGTGCGGGGTGCAGGCTCCGCCTGGGCGGCACTTACCTTGATTGGCTCCCGTAAACAGCAGCATGTCTGGCAGCAGCTCCTAGGCTCATGAGCGGCCAGACAGCTCTGCACGCTGTCCCTGCCTGCAAGCACCACCCTCGCAGCTCCCATTGGCTGCGGTTCCCCATTCCAGGTCAATGGGAGCTGCGGAGTCGGTGATCAGGGTGGGGGAAGTGTGCAGAGACACCCCCCCCGGCCACGCCTCCTCCTAGGAGCCGCTGCCGGACATGTCGCTGCTTCCGGGAGCGGCACAGAGCCAGGGCAAGTAGGGAGCCTGCCTTAGCCCCGCTGCGCCACCGGACTTTTAGCAGCCTAAAATCTCCTGGGTGGGCTTCAGTAGCCTCTGGGAGACCGAGACCGATTCTGGGAGACTCCCGGCCAAACTGGGAAGGTTGGCAACCCTAGGTCCGAACTGAGTTCACACACTATGGAAAAGCTGGATACAGTGTACTGGCAAAGGGAGGCCAGCTAGCCCTGCTGGACATCAGGGGAACTGGGTTCAAGTCCTGGTTTGGCCACACGCTCCTTTTGTGACCTTGGGAAGCTGCTGCATCCGTCTGGCTCAGCTTCTTGCCCAGGAACCTCCCAGCCAGGAGTAAGTGAGCAGTGTCCGTGCATGGGGAGAAATGGTAGGAGCCCCCTCACTTGAGACACTTCAAAGCAGACGAGTCCAAGCCCCGTAGGGAATGTCCCACGCTCACCCCTTCAGGGATGGACTAGAGAGGACTTGGATTTCTGTGGCGCTCTTAGTGATGCATAAGCCAGACCAAACCGCTCCATTTAACACACCGGGGGTCATCAGCAGCCATCCTAGTATAAGCCTATGTCCCCTGCTAGCCAGGGTGTCCAACCTCTACAACCCTCGAGCACATGTGGCTCCATCTCGTTCTGTTCAGTAGGAGGTAATTGAACCCTCCAGGATAGGAGCGCTGATTTCTGCTTTATTACCTTTGGTAATCTCCTGCCATACCAGAGAGCAGCCGGCTGTAGCTTTTCTGTTCCTCTGCCCTGCAGGGGCTCTCTGAGGAATACGGGAGAGCCCGTTGGCCTGTGCAGGTGGGCTGGTTCTACATGAGTCCTCAGGGTCCCATTAGCTCCCTTGAGATGGGTTGGCAGGGCTGAAAGATTGGAGAACTGTTGGTGTTTTAGTTAGAGCCCTCTGCAGGGAATCCAGCCATGGCAAGGCCTGGGAAGCATTTCCCAGGCTGAGAGCGCGTGCAGGGCAAAGAGAGCGTGTGTGACCGGGAGAGGCAGAAGACGAGAGGGAGAACATGCTGTGGGGGCAGGGACCTGCAGGGGGATCGGCCTTTGATCCTGCAGACAGGGCCGGTGCTACCATTAAGGCAAACTAGGCGGTTGCCTAGGGCGCCAAGATTTGGGGGCGCCAAAAAGCAGTGCCCCCAGTTTTTTTTTTT